GGGGCACATAGAATCTTACAGCACAGAAGGAGGCCATTCGGCCCATCGTGCCTGTGCTGGGTGGTTGAAAGAGCTCTCCAAGTAGTCCCAGTCCCCCGCTCTCTCCCCATAGGCCTGCACGTTTTTCCTTATCCAATTACATATCCAATTCCCTTTTCGCAACTTATTATTTTACCGCTGTAATATAATAAAGCCCAGACACGGGTGCCCTGGCACTATTTGCCCCTGGTGATGGTCTGGGTTATCCCTGTGTTGAGGGAAGAGGAGTGGATCAGGGGGAGTGGAGTGACCTTGGGAGTCACATCCTGAAACAGAAGAGATCAGAGCTCCTGGTGACCACCTCTATCCCAGACCAGTCACACACAGCAGGAACACGCACCACCTGGTGGTCCCATCAAAGAATATAATAGACACAGATTTCTTACAGGCAATAAGAGGTTAGGAAATGTCGCAGAAGTGCTGCTCTCCCCTCCCCCACCACCCAACCACCCCCACCAACCCCACCACCACCCCAACCCCACCCCCACCAACCCCCACCCCCACCAACCCAACCCCACCCCCCAACCCCACCACCAACCCCACCACACACCCCACCACCACCCCCACCAACCCCCCCCTCCCCACCACCAACCCACCCCCACCAACCCCAAACCCCCCCCCACCACCACCCCCACCAACCCCAACCCCTCCCCCACAACCCCACCACACCAACCCCTCCCCCACCACCAACCCACCACCACCCCCACCACCCCACCAACCCCAACCCTCCCCCACTCCCACCACCACCACCCCACCAACCCCACCCTCCCCCACCCCACACCACCCCACCAACCCCCCCCCAACACCAACCCCACCACCACCCCCCAACCCACCACCACCCCACAACCCCAACCCCTCCCCCCACACAACTCCACCACCACCCCCACCAACTCCACCACCACCCCCACCAACCCCACCAGCACCCCCACTAACCCCACCAGCACCCCCACTACCCCCAGCACCCCCAGCACCCCCCAACCCCACCCCACCAACCCCACCCCTCCCCCCACAACCCCCCCCCACCACCACCAACCCCACCCCCACCAAACCCCACCAGCACCAACCCTCCCCACCACCAACCCCACAACCACCCCACACAGCACCCCACCAACCCCAAACCCTCCCCCCCACCACACACCCACCAACCCAACTCCCTCCCCACCCCCACCCCACCAACCCCAACCCCTCCCCCAACACCCCCACCACCACCCCACCAACCCCACCACCACCCCACTAACCCAACCCTCCCACCACCAGCTCCA